TAAAACTCCACCAAATTACTTTATTAAAACAAAAGATAATGACATCAATATAGCATGTATGTGTGCATAAAGGCTGTGCAGTCTACATTTCATATATTAATGTCAACAATTTGATGTATATCAATATCAGTAGTAAATGCTTCATAACAGGAGGTACGACAACAACAGGTGGTTCATTAATATCAGTAGCAGCTGGCCATTATCAAATAACAAAAGGAAGTTTACCATCAAGGAGACTCGTAAATTACTATTTTATTTTATGTATGACATACAACTCACATTATGTCTTCATCAAATTTGCTGTCATACTTAAATCAATCATTATCTAATCATTATCAAGATTATTAAAAACTAACAGAAAGGCTATATAACTCATCTTTTCTTTATTTTAGAACTAAGTTTTAAATTGATTTTTAAAGCTTAGTTTAATTGCTTCTAATAATGCTAATGCTATAAACACCACAAAACATATGATCCATTTCCTTCTAAATTATAATGAAACATATACAAAGCAAGTTTATATACAAGACAAGTTTATATGCATGATATAGATTTATGTTATGGTGAAAGTTAGAGCAAACTCAGTTAAAATTGATTTTTCAAAAATTTGAGACCATGAACTATACAAATTTCAAAATTGCTATTCCATTTTTTGATGCATATTGATGCCTTTATGCCATGTAAGAAATTCAAGCCAATTCAAATCAAAATTAAATTAATGTACATGGTGCCAGTCATAACATAACACAACACAATTCTGACAGCCACAAGGTAAAGATGTATGCCCTCTCTGGTGACTTCATCGGAGAGTTTGGAGAAAATGGCAGCGGTCCAGAGCAATTTGCTTATCCACGTGGCATAGCATGCGATAATGAGGGGTATCTATTCATTGCTGATTATAGCAACACTCGTATATTGATCCTCACTATGGAGGGTAAGGCTGTCTCTTCTATTAACTGCAGAACCAAACCAGTTGATGTTGCAGTGAGTGTTAATGGTTCAATTCACGCAGCTCTTGATTACAGCAATGTTAGTGTATACACTAGATCTGATGGTGGGGAATAGAAGGAAACTTCGCAATATAGTGTTGGTGCAAACGCAACAGGAATATCAATCGATAGCGAAGGATACAAGATGGTCACACTCAATAATAATACAATGAGGATCATAGTTCCTGATTCTAACAACGTCGTCAAAACATGTCCTAATGTATCTCATGGTGTGGCTAGGGATTCACAAGTCTTTATATATGTTTCACATGTCAACAAGGGAGAAATACTGAAGTATTAAGCAAAAAAGGAACTTAACTAGAGTAACAGTAGCTAGTGTAGTGATACAAGATATAAATTATTATTATATATATTATACACCAGATTAGTACTACATATATTAACAACATTATACATGATTAGGTAGTTTTTGTTTAGCTAGATACATTGGTGACACTATTTT